AGACCTTCCTCTGGCCATCACTATCAACAACTTCCCCTTCCTCATCCTCGAGAGCGACAGGTTCACCCTCCGCTATCGCCACAAGGGCAACGTTGCATCCCTCCTAAACATCGATATGGTGAGCTCCTTCTTTTCCCCTTCCCTTCTCTTCTGCTCTCCTCTCCCCTCCCCTCCTCTCCTTCCCTTCCCTCCTCCCTCCCCTTCCCTCCCTCCCTACCCCTTTCCTCCCTCCCTCCCACCTCCTTCTCTTCATCATCTCCTTCTCTTCCCTCCTCCTCCCTTCTTCCCCCTCTCCTTTCCTTTCCTCTGCTCCTCCTCCCGCCATGGCTTCGCTTCTGCTAACTGAGAACTTCTCAGAGCGATCGAAGCTCAACGGCATGGAGGAGGGGCCGATAGAGGACGACTCGCAGATGCCGTCAGAGGAGCTCGAGCAAGCGATCGAAGAGGAGGACAGAGAGCTCATGAAGGATTGAAGGAGGACATGCAAGGACCAGGAGGGACAAGGCGGAGGCAGATGATGTTGATGTTGTTGATGATTAGAGTCTGACAAGATAACAAGGTGAAGTTGTAGATATTAAAGACGGCTCGTTGCTGTAAACATCTTTATGTTTGTACAGGGGAAAAATAATCTCATGTGAGATTAAGGAAAACACAAAAAAGGGTGAGGAGAGAGGAGAGGAGACCAGAGACAGGAGACACGTGAAACTTGTTCCTGTTATTCCTTCACTTCTGTTTCTCTCCACCAGCTCGGAGCCTAGAGGACATCAAAGTCAACGCGACGGAAAGAAGCGACAGGAGAGGAGAGGAGAGGAGAGGAGGGGAGGGGAGGGGAGGGGAGAGGAGAGGAGAGGAGAAAGGACAGAGGAGGGGAGGAGACGAGAGGAGGAGGAGGAGGAGGAGGAGGAGGAGTGAACTTCACCTGGGTCAAGTTTGCCGGGCTGAACCAGGACCACCAGCTTGACTTATAGACAAACTTGGAGGCAGCGGGGGCCCCGATCGTCTCCTTCTTCCTCCCTGCCCACTCGCTGACGCTCTCGTCGATGCTCTGCTGCTGCTCCTCATCCAAGATCACGTCTAGCGTCTGCTTCGCGATCTTCATTGCTGCTGTGCTGTTCCTCTCGGCGTGCTTGAAGCTTGCCTGCTGCATGCGGACCAGCCCCTCCTCGTCCTCAAGCCAGTCAAGGCACCTGCCTCCTACTTTCGTCGTATCCTTGACAAACTCGCCCATCCCACTGCTCTCCACGAACGTCACGTTGCCTTCCTCCTGCTTCCTCGTCAGCGCGAGCGCCGACCCCTGACATGCCGCACCTGCCCCGGGAGGAAGTCGAAGAGCAGCACGGGAAGGCCACAGCAGCAGGCCTGACGGTCAGCTCAGCGAGGTCGCAGCGATCAAAGAGGGACAAGCAAAGAGAGGAAGAGATCGGTTGAACAGGAGGAAGGCAAGAGGAGAAGGCGGAGGAGGAGGAGGAGGAGGAGGAGGAGGAGGAGGAGGAGGAGGAGCAGCAGCAGCAGCAGCAGCAGCAGCAGCAGCAGCAGCAGCAGCAGCAAGAACCTCTGCGATAGTGCCGGGACCAGCCTTGGTCACGAGGACATCAGCGGCGATCATCCACTCCTCCATGTTCGACACGAATCCGAGGATGCGGATGTCACATTCAGTAAGCCCCTGCCAATCATGTCATTCTCTCTCCCGTTCCTCCTCCCTCCGCTCAGCTTCTGTCTTCTCCTCCTCCTCCTCCTGCTCGCTTCCCTGTCTCCGCATCCCGCATCCCGCTCCCCTCTACCTTTCTCCTCCCTCCTCTACTCTCAGTCGACGCATCCTACTGTCTCACCTGCTTTACTTTCTCTGCCTCCCACGTCAGCTGCTTCTGCAGCTTCTCGTTCTTTCCGCAGATGATCACGATCTTCAATATCCTCGAGTCAGGGAGACAAGGACGAGATGACGAGGAGGGGGAGGGGGGAGGAGACATGAGGAGCATGAAGAGAGAAGCTAGAGAGGAGCATGGTAGTCGACCTGCAGCTTCTGCATCCTTCCGCTTGACTTGAGAGCGAAGAAAGACATGGCACATTCTCTACAGCAAGCACATCAGAAGCTCTTCCCCGTCCCCGTCCTCGCCCGACTCTCCCTCCCGACCCTCCACCCCAACTCAGACTGCCCGTTCTCACTTGAGTTTGCCCATTCCATCTCCTCCTCCGATCAGGATGACAACTCGCCAGTCCTGTTTGAGCTACAAGACGATATCAGCACCTCCGTCACACCAGCAAGACAAGAGACCTCAAGCTTGTCCCGCATCAGCTCCTTGTTCTTCTTGCTAGAGTCGATGTTCCAGAAACCCTTACAACATATCAGTCAGCTACTGCCCAGTTCCTCTCTCCTCCTCCTTCCTCTACCGCCACGTCTCCCCTCACCTTACGGAGCGGAAGCCCACAGACCGAGACTTGCTCTTCCTTCAGTCCAAACTCCAACGCCTGAAGTCCTTCAGCACTGACTCTACAGCTGCCAACTCCTGTCTCACCTGCGCCTTCATCTCTTCGATTGGAACAAACATCTTGTCCAGCCCTTTGTTGAACCACCAAGGATGCGCCTCCCCGAGGTCCGTTACAACCGTCACGAAGGGGATTCGCTTGCCGTCCTTCATGTGGCTAGACGTCGCTCTGCCTCTCCCGTCACATCCCTTCCTGATCCCTCCTCTTCCTCCTTGCTTCTCTTCCTCCTTCCTCATCCTCCTCCCATAGCTCTCTCCCTTCTACCAACAGACCTGGGTGCTGATTGCAAGATGGGGTGAACACTGACGATGATGTCTGCACCCAACATGTGTCAGAGCTCAGGATTGAAGGAACGAGACGCTCAAGGGGGAGAGATTGTCAGGGGAGGATGCACCGGGTCGTTCTTCCTGCACGCAGCGGATGAAGCCTTCAAGCACAGAGGGCTCGCCAACCCTCGCAGGATCTAAAATCCAGACGTTCCCGCTGAGCGAGTGTGTCCTCTTGGTTGAGTTGTAGATGGCCCCCCATAGCCAAGGAAGAGAGCTGAAGAACTGAGCCAGCAAGTGTCAATGTCACCCACAAGCGTCAACTTCCTGCTGCCCCTGCCTCCTCTTCCTCCCTTCCTCTTGGCTCCTCCTCTAATCCCTCGAGCTCTTTCCACTCCCAGCCTTCAAGCATCCTCTAACTTTCTCTGTCTCAACACAGCCCAGCAAGCATCTCAGCGCATCACATTGTATGTTCGGTTCGAGGCCCACAACGTGTAGTCTTCCATGATGTCAACGATCTTCACTTCCACCTGATCGTACATCAGATGCTTGGCCCTCACCCTCGCCTCCTCTCACTTTGTCCTTGGCAATTTGATCGATGGCTGCTGCGATCGACGCAGCGCTTGCCTTGTGCCCTCCTCCAGTGTCGCTGTACACGATCAAGACCTGGAGAAAGGAGGAGGACGGGAGGAGAACGGGAAGAGCAGGAGCAGGAGCAGGAGCAGGAGCAGGAGCAGTCAATCATCGTAGAACCCCGGATGGCATAACGCACCTTGGGCCGGTTCACCTCCTCTTCAGGCGATCGCAGGGTAGTCGGGGGAGTTCTCCACCTGGAAGTCAACGGCCGTGAGCGCCTACGTCAGCCGCATGTCAAGAGACCAGTTGGCGATCTTCCACACCCGGAAGGCATAGTTCTTCATGGCCTCCGCATGGCTCTTGATCTCCTCAGACCTGGACGATACGCTCTCAACAAGATTTTCAACTCCCCCCCTGATGCCCGAATTCTCACCTCACTCTCGTCTCTGCTCGAGCTTCAGACAGCGCAGTTGTCAACGAGTCCGGGATGGTCTTCTGATAGTGGGATTGTCATGACACGGCAAGACATGGATAGATCAGATGTACCTTTACGTTCTGAAGCAGCGAAGAGTCCAAGAAAGATGGCTGTAAGCCGTTCTCAGGAAGGAGAGAAAATGGAAACATGAGAGTCGCAATCATCGTACATTCGATGCTTGAGGTTCGCCATCGGGCGGCGAAACTGAGAGCTATGGTGAGAGAAACATCAATGGCATGCGTACATTCACACGAAACATGGGGCAAATATCCTTCGATGTGAACAACGGGGTCCATCAATATCATCACAAGTTCGCTCACCATTGCTATCAGTCATCGTGCCTTGAAAAAGGTGCAAATTGCTGAAATCAAAGTACGTGTCAATCCTCGTCAAAAGTATCTCTAGGCCGTCAGAAGATAACTCTTGTCTTTTGGAACTCAACTTTGATGTCTACCACATCCTCCGTGAAATCATTTGTCTGAACAAACGTGAACTTTGACTGGCCGAATAACAATACCTCACATTGTGTTCATCGAGTACCTGGATCCTCGCATCTCCTCGTTCGCTTCCACAAACTTCTCCACCATCTTCGTCCTCCTCCCCCATCCTGTCTAGCAATAATCTCATCTATCCTTGCTGTCCTCCTCCTCCACCACCCTCCTCCTCCACCACCCTCCTCTTCCACCTCCTCCTCGTCGTCCTCCTCGTCCTCGTCCTCGTCCTCCTCCTCCCTCTCGCCTCCCCTCGCTCTCCTCATCCTAGCATTGCAGGGTCTCCATGTTCCTTCGATTGGGATGACCACCCCACCCCCCCCCCCAGCAAAAAAACACCCCCCAGTCACTATACTATCCTACCCTCAGATGAGGATCTATTTTCAATGGCTACCCCCAATTTTCTCTCTGATGACCCCACCTTATGATACTCTGTCACCTTCACTACCCACCATACTCGAGAGCATCTGGTTACACCCCATCTACTACCCTACCCCTCATACCTCATACCACCACCCCAATCCACCTCGGAACTTCCATCTGTGTACTTTGTAGTGAGAACCACCGGTGGTAATCTCAGGTCGAATGGGGGGTGGAAGTACCAGGGGTAGTACCCCACCAATTGGCACCCTGCAATTGCAGAAAGCATCGAACGTCCTCGTCGTAACCGTTTCGTAACGTTATTCCTAAGGCCCGCCGGGCCAGCCGGGCGGCGCTGACGGTACCAGACTCAGGCTCCGACTCGCACAAGTTCCGAACGGTTCCGGGGCCCGGCGGGGCCCGGCCCGGGCTGAACCCGCCGCGGCCCGGGGGAGGCTCGACATGTGACCGTCGGACGGTGACAAACGTTGAGCGCTCGTACAGTTCCGAGGTTCGGACGGTTTACTGCCAAGTTCCAAGTTCCGAAGTTCCTTCAAGAGTCCGGAACCGTGAAAGTTCCGAGGCAGCAGTCACTCAGTCCGATCATGGCATGATGGGTCATCCCCAGGGACCTCCGAGCGTCTCCTTAGAGCTCCACCTGGAACCCAGCTCCGATCTGCAGACGTCTTCTCTGCTCCCACCTGCCAGACTCCGTCAGACTGGCTCGCAGCCCGAGCTTGCCCTCGCTCACTTTCCGCCGAAGGTGAAGGAGGAGGTCGTGTTCCTCTTTCCTTCAAAGCGCATCTCCACCTACCGCACACAGAGGAGGGTCAGCAGCTCGTCGCCGAACCCTCGCCTCACCTCTGCCGCCACCTTCCCGCTCCCCTCGACCGCAACCTTCAAGGCGCGTCACTGGCTGCAGGCAACAGGAGGGGGAGGGACCTGGAAGGTTCCCCGAGAGAATCTGTGCACAAGAGCGAAGAAGGGGATCGTCTCAGAGGATCCGCCTCCCTTGAGGTCCTGCCGCGCACGTGAGAGGAGGAGAGGTCCCGGGGAGCAGCGACAAGACCTGTAAACTGTTGGCGCGATGCTCGGCGCCAGCACAGAAGGAGAGGTCCCCGTTGGCGAGGCTGCAGGAGGCGGTCAGAGATCGCAGGAGTGGACCAAGGCAGGAGGCGCACAGGTTCTTTGCAACCATCGCCCGAGCGACGAAGGACTCCTTCTCTACGTGCCACCTCAGCTCCTCCTCTCCTCGCTCTCCCTGCCCACGGCACGTCAACCCAGCGGCCAGCAAGGCGATCATGACTTTACCGGCAGGACGGATGGCGACTTCACTTTCACAGTCCCGGACATCCACACCGACGGCGAGATCTGAGTGCCGTTCACATCCCTTTCCTCCTGCGCTACCTCGTCACCTGATACGTTCGAGCTATCAGGAGATCCTTCGGCACCGCCATGCTGCATCCAACTCAAGTCATCCTCGAGAAGCAATTCAAGCCCTTCTCATCCACCAGTACAGCAGCCCCAGCCACGTGTTAAGCCCCCGATCCACCATGCTGTCAAATCCCTGGACGCCGGTCAACACTGAGCAGGACAGCAGCAAGGAGGCTGAGAGACCTTGGGGAGGCTGGAGAGGAACGAATGATGACGGATGGCGGCGAAGGTTGGAGTGATCGACAAGTAGTCCACGCGGGCAGACTCGGGAGGAGAAGGAGGAGCGTACTGGGAGAGGTTGTCAGCCGCAAGCTTGTTCCAATCGACGCTGGAGCTGGAGAAGACGGGCAAGTTGGTAACGGTCATGTTGTAGAGCATCCCCTTGGCGTGCGGAACTACGGTTGTCGGGTGACCGTTCCACCAGAGGGACCCGCTGGAGAGCTGTGCTGCGCTGAGACGCCAGAGGAGGCTGTTGACGAGCAGGTTTTTCATGGCCTCCACCGCCACATCCGCCTCCTTGAGGTTCTTGCCGTTGACCCGGAAGTTGAGCCGCTGGGTCAAGAACCTGTCCTGCATTACCCAGGTCGCAGTCTTGTACTCCTTCGCCACCTCCACCTCAGACTGCCACTCGCAGCGGCACTCCGCATACTGGTTCTCCTGTCCAGCAAACGTCTGGATGACCAGCCTCGTCGGGAGCTGGTAGAGCGGAGATTCAAGTATGCTCCCCCTGACTTTCTCGCTCCCCTTGGGCGGTCTGGCACCGGAGAAGAAGGGCATGTAGAGCGTGGCTGTCTTGTCGTCACTGGTCAAGGAATGGAAGGTTGTGAACCCGATCCTCTTTGAGTCCTTGCTCTCCGGCACGGTAAACGGCCCTTTGGACAGATACATCTCACCAGCTTTACCCACGGAGATGGTGGATGCTGCTGGCTTCGCCTCGCAGGCTTTCTTCAGCGCGCCCGTCCCTCCGCTGTCCAGCACTTGGTACCCGAGGCTCCTCAAGATGAACGTTCCCGCCCGAGCAAACGTCACTCCCGACGTGATGTGGATCATGGCGTCGAGAGTGACGCCGTTCTCTGCCGCTGACCCCCAGACGCGCTCGTTGTTGACCGTGGACGTCATGCCTGCCTGCTCATGACAGATGAGACTTCATCTCCACATGTTTTTGCCTCAGTCTCGTCATTGGGAACAACCCGTCAACATGAACGAGTTCATGCACTCTCCTCAACCCCAGCGACCTTCTCCTCCTGCACTTCCTCCTGCTCTTCCTCCTGCTCTACCGCTCACGCAACGTCGATACATTCTACGTTCCTTGCTTCATTCGTCCTCCCATGCATTGAAACTTATTTACTTTCTGCCGCCGCTTGACCTAGTATCTCCCTTCCTCTATCCTGGGTTGCTGCATGCTAGGAAAACGAGGCTGTTTTTTGACACGAACCTGCTCTTTGCGTTCATCACTCTTACTACCTTGCACCATTCATCCTTCTTTTCACTTCTGTTCAACCCACTACTTTCTTGTCCTTGTCGAACAACCTTTTTATCAGCTCTTGACCGCACTTCTCCTTTGTGGAACAATCATACAGTACCTCCCTCCCCTCCTCTTGTGTACATCCCCATCGTGCATGTCTTACCGCCTCCCTCCCTCCCTCCCCTCTCCTCCCTTCCTCCCCCTCTCCTCTAGTTTCAGGTTGCGCCCTGACTCCTACGACTCGATATCCTCTATGACCCCTACCCTCACAATTACCGAATATTTATTTAAAACACCCGGTACTCTAAGGCTGAAGAGGAACCCCTACCCCCCTCCCTAGCATATGTCTGGTAGGAGCGTTTGTTCTCCCAGTCCGATGCCAATACGAAAATTCGCTGTGGGCGGAGACAGGGAGGAGGAAGGAGAGAGAGGAGAAGTAGATAGACAGAGAGAGTGGGAGAGAGAGGATGGCGATGGAGTAGGAGGACAAGACGAGTTCGATGCTAGTGAGTTTGAGCTGAGGGAATAGATGAGGGGGGTTCTGTCAAGCAGCATCGTTCAGTAAAAGTAAGGGTTGTATGTAGCTCCTGGGGCCTTGTCGTCAAGTTCCATGTGCATGAAGAGGCCTGCTCACTCCATCAGCTCTTCCCTCCCTCTCCTCCCTCTCGTTCCTTCCTCTCCTGCCTCCGCCTCCTTCCTCCCTCTCCTCTCTCAGTCTCCTGTGTCTGTCTCCTGCCTCCCTCGCCATGGGCCGAGCTGACCTGACGACGGCACCCCGACGACGAAGGGACGAGCAGGCCAGGTGTCGTTGACGGAGTCTTCGAGGAAGTGCTTGCTGACGGCGATCCCTACTCGCACATGGGTCAAGTAGCGTGAGACAAGACAGGAGAGACCAGGGTCCACATAAGCCGTCGGTCCCAGGAAGGTCAAGAACCAGCGCTGGAGCATGTCAGGAAGATGGAAGCGGGAGGAGGAGGGGAACTGGTGGAAGATAGTCGGGGTGTTTGTGTACTTGCAGGAGCGGGAGGGCAGGCAGTAGAAGGATATGCTGGAGACGTTGAGCTGTCGGTGGTAGCACAGCTCGACATCGTTGAAGACCAGGTGGGGCCTCTTGCCCTCCCAGCCTCCCTCAGGCTGCATGGTGTGGTCCAGGCACGCGCAGAAGAAGTGAGGGGGGTGAGGAGGGAGGAAGCGAGAGCAGTTGAGAACGTACGCCCTGCAGGAGGCGGCGGAGGGTGAGAGGATGGAGGAACAAAGAAGAGGAGGGGGGAGCAGGGAAGGAGCAGGGGAGGAGGAGAGTTACAGGCCATCGTGATGCTCCGACTGCGGGCTGAGCTCGTCAGACTTGAGGCGGACGACGTCTGCTCTACCCTGTAGCAGGCGAACAACTGAGAGGGAGAGGAAGAATGAAAGGAGTGTGTAGGTTGCTGAAGGGGGAGAAGGAGGAGGAAGGAGGAAGGGACGAAAGACAAGATGGAAGAGGAGGAAGAGAGAAGGAGAGAAAAGGAGAGATTGGAGAGAGGGATGGAATGGGAGGAGTGCTGGATATGAGAGTAAAGGGAGCTCACCTCCTGAATCAACTTCATCGCGCCGTCCATAACAGGACGCCAGATCTCGCTGCAGAAAGAGTTTGAGATCAAGCAGAGGAGGAGGAGCGCGGTAGGAGGGGAGAGAAGGTGGCAAAAACTTGCGATGCACGTGGGAGGAGGAGGAGGAGGAGGAAGAGGAGGAGGAGAAAGAGCAGAAGGAGCAGAAGGAGGAAGAGCAGAAGGAGGAGAAGGCCGAGGAGGAGAAGAAGGAGGAGGAGTCGACCTGGAGAAAGGGAGAACCCAGTCGTCTTCAAGGAAGAGGAAGTGCTTTGTGCGGGAGGAGGAGACTAGCTCGTACAAGGCTCTCCCTATGCCGATGTTGCAGTCAGCCCCTACCTGCAGGCGCCGTCATGCTGGCCGGACCTCGCAGCAGGTCCTCACCAGTCTCACACGGGGGGGAGGAGAGGACATGGAGTGAGCAGTCTTGAGGATATCTCGGGGGATAGCAATGAAGTCTGAATAACCGCATCATCATCATCTCCATCATCATCTCCATCATCATCATCATCATCATCATCATCACCACCACCACCACCACCACCACCACCACCACCACCACCACCACCACCATGAACAACAACATCATCAGCAGCAGCATCAACATTGTCGTCGTCGTCGTCATTATCATCATCGTCATGAGCGGCAGCAGCATTTCAGTCATCATGATCATAATCATATTATCTTCATTTGCTTCTTCTTTTCACCAACTTCTTTCATTTCGCTGATACTCCTCTCGGCTCATCATCCAGCACTCCATACCTTCTCCACGTTCTCATCCTCCCCTTCATACAACAGCTCCTCACTGCTTCTCCAGACATCCATTGTGGCAGCAACAACAACAACAAGAACAACAACAAGAACAATAACAACAACGATCACAACCACAACCACCACAAACAACAAACAACAACAAACAACAACCTGTCTCCCGTATATCCTGCAAGAAGATGATGGTTTCGTTCACAGACTGCCAGTGGTACAAGTCAGGACTCATGTCTCCCGGAGGGAGAACAAGAAAAGTTTCACTTTACCTGCAGCAGGTTCGTTTCTATCCACGTCTGCAGGCTATTCATCAAGCTCTCCCTTGCATCCTACAGCAGCCAACGAGGAAAACAAGATCAGACGCCGCGTCCCATCGCCATAGCAGGAGGGCGAACCTTAGGATACCCTCCTAGGACTCCGACCGTCAGGGTCGGGTACAGGGCGCTGCTGTCCCCTCCCGCCCCTTCCCACACTATCGCCCCGTCCTCTCTGATCGCGAACTTTTGCGTGTCCGGGTCGACAGGGTTGAGTAAGCCAGCGAGCTCGCGCGAAGGTCGCAGAGCCACAAGGGAGCAGGAGGAGACGGGAAGGTGCGAGAGGTTGCTGCCTTCCACAACTGAGGTCAGGACAGAGGAGACGCTCTTGTGCTGCTCTCCGCTGCTCTCTCCTTCTCCGAGAGCTCCCGCCCGCTGCCATCGCACCCCTGCTGCGTCGTCAAGCTCTACCGCCTCCTGCCTCCTCACCGACCGATCCTGTGCTCCCCTGGCTCGACATTTCGAACCATGATGGTGTACCAGGCGCTGCAGCTGCGAGAGCAGGTTGAGCAGGAGGGCGCAAGTTCGAAGGAGCAGCAGCAACCAGCGCTCGTCAGTCTTTGGGTCCACGTGCAAGCAGCCCCATCGGACGTCGAGGATACAGATCCTCGTCTCTCCATCTCCACCTCCCTCGGCACCCGCTGCCGTCCTGCCGCCATGCTCGATCGCAAAGATGCCGTCTGCTAGACCAGTCCTGCGAGCTTGACTCAGCAACTTCCCTGCATGTGCGGCAAAGGACACCAGGACTCGAACAAACGCTTCCCCTCCTCGGAGTCGAAAGGAACTCTCCTGTCATGTGAACGACGCCAATCATCGCACGTGCCCTCACTCGTACCTCCTCCGACTCCTTGCTCACCTTCCCGCGTCAAGCGTTCTCTCCTTCTCTCTCATCAGAGCGTCCAGCTCCTCCCTCCCTCCCTCCTCCCCTCCTACGCACACCTGCCCGACCTCTGCCTCGTCGGCAAAGACATACAAATGTCCGTAACACCCCGATCGATGGCGGAAGGAGCCGAGGACGGGAGACGAAGGCGCAGGGAGAGGAGGAGAAGGAGAAGGAGCATCGAAGTCGCGCGAGCTCACCCTCACCTCAACCGTGACGTGTCCTTTCCTCGTCGCTCCATCAACAACCACAACATGTCCGTCCTGGGGATGTACAATGCTCGCCCCCTCCGAGCAGCTACAGAGATCCGAGCTCCCTTCTGCTCCTGCTCCTGATCCTGATCCTGATCCTGATCCTGATCCTGATCCTGATCCTGATCCCTCCTCTGACCTCTCTCCTGCCCCTGGTAGCATCAGGGAGCAAGCTACAACCAAGATCAAAATGGTAGGAATTCTCATGATACACTCCTCCTCTGACTTGCCCTTGTCCTCCTCCTCGTCCTGCTGCTCCTGCTGCTGCTGCTGCTGCTCCTGCTGCTCCTGCTGCTCCTGCTGCTCCTGCTCCTGCTCCTGCTCCTGCTTGCTCCTGCTCTTACGCTCCTGCACAATGTGTGGGATAACCGTTACACGAACGTTGCGTATTCTATGTATCCGTTACAGATCGTTACAGTGCCTCAAACCCATAACCCCTCGTCCAATACCCACCCTTGAATTTAACCTACCCCTACCACATATTTTCCAGTAAAATTTACCCCTACTGTACGAAATTCGAAGTACCCCACCCCTCTTTATCCATAACTTCTCCAGGTGCTTCTCTCTCTCACTACCCCCACCTACCTTTCGAGTACCAACATTTCGGTACCCCCACCCCTCTGACCAACCTTATCTATATCCCATTGGACCCGTCTGATACCACCCTCCAGCCATGTACCCTTCAAAAATGTACATGTGGTTCAATACCCGTACTTTTGTCTGTGAATTTACCCCACCTTTGCAGATAAATCTTAATTTTTATATTATTAAGTGTTTACCACCCGTTATCATCTCATTTCTGAATTCACAGTACCCTACCCTTGCGCACCCACCCACCCCGACAACACACTGCTTCGCTCCTCTGAGGAATGGTTCCAGCATAGCGATGGACAAGCAAAGGGACGTCAAGAAGAGAAGGAAGAGAGAGAGAGAGGGAG